CACTACATCTGTCATACCCAGCACATCATTGGACGAATCACTGGACAGGTAGCGAATGGCAGACTTAATTTTTCCCGAAAATACCAGGTTGCTGAATGTGATATCACTCTTCTCTCCTCCACCAGACGAGGTAGAGTACCGGGGCTTGAGACGATCCTGAAGGGACTCTCCTTCAGTAGTCAGATCATCTATTCGGCCAGATTTCCATAGAGTGAGTCGACGCCGTAAATGGTCGCTATAGTTTGACATCATCTTAGAATCATGCGGACGCTGGAGAAGCAGGTGGCAGGCAACACCGACGGCCTTCCATGCAACTGGTCGTAATGAGGAGCCATTGGTGAAACCCTTGATGAGCCCAGTGAGCACGTCAACAAAATCACCACCAGCCGAGCCCAATGGAACGTTGAATAAGTTTCTCCGCCAGGTCACCACCTTCTCATACGCTCGGGATATGTCGTTGTTGAGGGAGGTGTTCGAAGATAGGGAATCATCACTGCTCATAGTATTAACTCTGGCACCCGCAGGAGAGACCTGTGATGTAGAAGTCTGCCGAGCGACCGCGGCAGCCGGAGAAGCAGCAGCAGCAGGCTGGGCCGAGCCCTGCCCCACAGCAGCAGCTCCTGGCAACAGGGAGGGCGCAGGATCCACCCCGCTCCGCCCACCAATGCGATGAGCCGGCCGACCAACCGCGCCTCCGAAATCGCCGGCCGGTAATGACGAGGTGCCGGCATCACCGCTGTCTGCCGCTTGTCCAGAGGACTCAGGACCCGAAGCATCTAGGGTAGCCAGGAGCTCCACCTGAGAACCTGTGGGATGAATGTTGGATGTTGACGCTCCAGCCCGTGAGGTGCCAAGGCCATCACCTTGAATCTGAGAGGATGGATCAGTTATTACATCACTTGCAGGGGAAGAACCAGCGCGTGCATGATCTGCGCATACCAAGTTCCTCGGAAGTGTCGAATTTATATGCAGTGAATCACTGTCACTGTCGCTAGCTTGCGATCTATCTCCAGCGCAATCAACACCGCGAGGTGCAAACCCAACCGCAAGTGGCTGGCTGGCAGGGTGCGCGTTGACAGTTCGAGTGACATTGCTAGCACCAGAAGGCTGTGAGGCAGATAACGAATTGTTGCACGTGCTAGGTAGCGACCTTCCTGGGTAGCAATCAATACACTTCCTCCCATGCCGAACACAGCTGCATCTCACACACTTTCGACTTGATTGACACTGGCAGCACGGCATAAAGTATTCCAACGGCTGGAGGTGCGAGGCTGGCAGCCCCTGCAGGCCCACTGCTGGTAGGTGGCAATGATGTTGATGAACGATGCTCTGGCGAGATTGATCAGGCGGGTACTGTTCAAGACAATGGCGAGATGCTAACTCTGCTAACTCAAAAAGTGAACAGAAAATAGGAGAAAAAAGCAACAAAACCCAACACAACACAGGAAAACAGCAGCAGAGTAGCAGTCGCATCCAAGGCCTCTTCTCCAGCCTCCCCAGTCTGCAAGCAAATCCAGCCACCTCCAGAGCCACCTCCAGAGCCACCTCCAGAGCCCCAGAATCACCAACCGACCTCCACCAGCGCAGCTCAAGACTCCATCCATCATCATCATCATCATCATCATCATCATCATCATCATCATCATTTGAACAGCCTCTTCTACGGGCAAGCAAAAACGCAATACATCAAAATTCAAATAGAATGAAAAAGAGAGGAAAATGAACACAAAGTGCACTGGAACTCAATATAAAAAGGAACGCAAAGTGCAGTTGAACACAATGAGCATGGGGCATGGGGCCACCAATCGGAGAAGACCGGCTCATGATGGAAAATAAAAGAACAAACATAAGACACCCGTACACATCAACGTGCTCTAACGGTATGGCAGCTTGTTAAAAAGCTGTGGCGCTGGCGCTTGTATGATGCCCGCGAACCACGTATGCAGGTAATACACCACCGGAGCAAACACAGCGACAATACAGATCGAAGTTGTCCCATGACTACAGAATAATGTAACTCAGGATTTTTCTCAACAACAAGCGATACCAAATTTTTCAAAAAACGAGACCCCTCTGGCCCACACATGCCTGAAGTTGAAAAAACTAACGGTGTAAATGATGCTCTCTCTACAATATTTACACGGGCACAATATTCTCTCTTTTTGGCCTGTTCATGGGTCTTCAGCTGACGCAGGACGTCTGTACGCGACAGCAGGCTTGCCTTCGGGTGTGTTACCCGTACATCAAAAAAGGCATCCTGCTGCCGGGTCCAGAAGCCCCGCGCCCTGATATCCAGACGCGCCTCCAAAGACCGGTTCGCAGTTCGATGTGGTAGTGTTTCTCCTTCGAACGGCTTGAGAAGAGGCTCCTTCTCCACATCTGGTAGTATTTCCCGAATTGCTTCTGACAGAATGTCCCGGATCTCGTTATGTCTTGCAATTGGGTAACCACCCGCCGGGCAACTCATGGCATGATCTATTGTCATGTCTTGCCCACAAATACAGGAACTGGACACTCCCTCCAATGACAAACCATATCGAATACAAACAGCATCACGAAAATCCGATTTGTTCAGGATTGAACTGGGCGTTATGAAAGACGGCATGGAGGATAACCAATTTGAAACACCCTTCTCACCAGCCGTTTCCAACAAAAGCTGTTGCGCCGGCGGTAGCATGGGGCGCAACTGTGCCACTCTTTCATCCTGTTTCTTTTGCCGCTGCTGACGTGACTGACGTGCCCGCTGCCGAACATCCCCGATGGCATCAAGGGTAACATCTGCGCCCGAGCCTCCGGCTGCGTCATCCAGGCTAGTGATCCCCGGCCGTGGTACAGGATGTAGGCGGAAATCATCGGGTAGAGATGACGATAAAATCAACCCGGGAGAATGGCCCCGAACGTTGTGAGGCTGTTCCGCGCCCGCAACGGTCAGAGGCTGTGTGGAGGACTGGTATGGAGCAGCAGGTGCCTCTTCTGGAGGCGTTAATGTATCTGGCGGTACAATCAGGCGCACGAACGGCTGAGTGATCATCATCATCATCATCATCATCATCATCATCATCATCATCATCATCAACATCTGCGTTGCCGAAAAAAATAAAAACGGTAAAATAAAATATAAAATAATAAACGGTATTATGCAGCTGTGTAAGCAGTAGATGCACGGTGTGACTGCCAGGCATCTCTGTCAGATGCCAATTGGCAATTCTCATGCAGAGATATACCAGTCCACGAAACAATACTGTCAGCAAAGGGGAGAATGGCCCCGAACGTTGTGAGGCTGTTCCGCGCCCGCAACGGTCAGAGGCTGTGTGGAGGACTGGTATGGAGCAGCAGGTGCCTCTTCTGGAGGCGTTAATGTATCTGGCGGTACAATCAGGCGCACGAACGGCTGAGTGATCATCATCATCATCATCATCATCATCATCATCATCATCATCAACATCTGCGTTGCCGAAAAAAATAAAAACGGTAAAATAAAATATAAAATAATAAACGGTATTATGCAGCTGTGTAAGCAGTAGATGCACGGTGTGACTGCCAGGCATCTCTGTCAGATGCCAATTGGCAATTCTCATGCAGAGATATACCAGTCCACGAAACAATACTGTCAGCAAAGGAAATCTTCAGACGACCACGCTTTCTCTTACCATCCACGACACCAAACATCACGTCATGTACAAGCTCGCAGCCAGATGGGCGGCTCTTTTGTTACTTGGTACAAATTCCGGGTTTTATCGGCTTTCACGATGATGTCATTAGAATTTTTGATTGTTTTGGTGTCTTTTCTCATAGCGTCTTGGAGGCTGTCTGATGCTTAGCGGAAGCTGACCGTTTCAGCCACGCAAATGAGGTACTCTTCAAATGCCTTTAGTTCATCGACTTGCGGAGGACATGTCCTGCTCTTGAAGCCAAAGCGTTCTGGTTGCTGCTCTTCGCGTTCCTCACCATTGAGGTAGAACAAGGCGGAACACCTCATGCGCTTGATGACTTGCTCAATCCTGTCAATCAGACATTTCCGGTACTGCTTGGGTGACGGTAGAGGGATGGTCTTCAGGGAATATCCCAGTTGTCAATGATTGGCCTTGAAGCGACCATAGCTAGCTTGCAGTCTAGGGGTAGAGTGCTCGACTGGGTAGAGCCAGGAGCGTGGACAAATCCGTTCAACCCCGAACTGCAGAGAGTGCTCAATGTCAGAGACAGAGCTTAGTACATAGCAGACTGAGCGCACTGCTGGGCAGATCCGAGTATCAGTTGCCTGATCATTGCCTAGCGGCACCAAACTCAGAGTTACAACCAACCTGAACGTCTCCCGCTGAGTCTGCTATGTACTAAGCTCTGTCTCTGACATTGAACACTCTCTGCCGCTCGAAGATCAACGGATTTGTCAACTTCTATGATACATTGGTAACTTAAAATTACAATACTGACATAAAAGCTACTGTAATGTCGCTTATTGAGGGGCACCACGTCCACGATTCATGCCTGCTATGCTGCACCGCTGCTTTGCATGTCATGATTGGAAGCTGTGGCCTTAGTAAAAGAAAAAGAAAAAAAGGCTAATGTATTGTCGCGTATTAAAACCGGACTTATTCCTGTAGAAGCCGACGTCAGTCCTCGGCTATTATTCACATCACACGTCTATTCAAACAAGGTATTTCTATGTGCAGTAAAACCTCGTTTAAGAGACCACCCCATGATGCAAGCAAGAGCGGTCGTTAAAGCAGGGTGGTCTTTAGAATCAGGTCCCACAGTGTCAAACAAGGTATTTCTATGTACGTCAACAGACTCAACACTAAAACCAGGCTATCTCTCGAGTCGACAGTGAAACTTTAAAATCAGGCTTCTATTCAAAACAGGCTTCTATACGAGATAGGCTCTAATACAAGTCATTACAGTATAGAATGAGTCCTTTAACAACCCGATGTGAACATAGATCTTTTCTCTGGGTGCTACTCACTACGGTATGTAAGTAAAGAACAGTTTTAAGAGGGGCTCACCGAGAACAGCGATGTTGAAGGAACCGTTAACCTCTTCTGTTCCGCTATCAAGAGTTACTCTGGTGCGGCAGACTGCCGGGCCTGCATGAAGGGCTGGGTCGGCCGTCTGGATCTGGAAACGAAAGATAGTTGTGCGTGGCGGCCCACTGAAAGCAGAAACCAAAAAAGGTCCCACCACAATACCGCTGCTCACTACCAAAACGACTTGATTCGACGCCGGTGGTGGATCGCTGCGGATGCGACACACGATTTCAATCCGTTCACCGGCGACTCCAGTGACGTCATTGACCGAGACCACGGGTGGGACTGAATATGCGGCAAAAACACGCACATACACATGTGCATGCACATGATCACATACACGCATACACACACATAATATTATATTTTTATACACACACACAAACACACACACACAATAACACACAAAATCACACACACACACGCACACATACACACACACACACACATACACACACACACACACACACACACATCTCTTTCTCTCTCTCTCTCACACACACACACACACACTTCTCTCTCTCTCTCTCACACACACACACAAACACACACACAATAACACACAAAATCACACACACACACACGCACACATACACACACACACATACACACACACACACATCTCTTTCTCTCTCTCACACACACACACACACTTCTCTCTCTCTCTCTCTCACACACACACACACACACACACACGCACACAAACACACACAAAACCACACATGTCAAAACACATTCACACACAGAATACTTAGTAAACAGTAACTTTACCGGCTGCAGAAAGCACCAACCTTCACATCAAACAAAATTATTATAAAATGAGATTCTATGTTTCGGATTAGACAGCATCAGACAGTTTCCGTTATGCATACATTATGCATACATGTACATTGCATGTATGTGTGTTCGATTATCCGGTTCCCTCGCCTATCCGGATATTTTTTGTCGAAAACGGATGTGTGTGGTTGTGCAAGGTCTGTTTGTACAGATGACCACAATACAGCTGATAGCATAACAAACTAATGTGCTGCATGTCATCCCATGACAACTTACAGTCCGTCAGCAGAGTGCCAACGTCCGTTCGGGAAAGCTGATTGGCCGGGAGTGGTTGATCCAGCGTCACGATACACGTGTACGAACGGGACCTGGTCTGCATCACGGCCGTATCAACCAGCAGTGTGGACGTCGTAGCGTTGCTCGTGACGCCCACCGTGATCTCAGTTGAGGACAAGAACCATGAGAAGAGGAATGGTGGTGTACCAGCTGTGGTGTCGCACACTAGTTCTGCAATAGTCCCATTCAGAACAGTCTGGGTGGGTGGGGTTATTCGAACCACGGGTATAACTGCAGAGGACAAGCAAGACATACGATGAGTTCCATGTCCATTTTTAGTGTGTGTGTGTGGGGGGGGGGGGCTTTTACTCCATTGATCCAATTAACGGTGAATATGATACTCCAGTGAGGTTTATACTCCAGTGATGTTTATACTCCAGTGAGGTTTATACCCCAGTGGGGTTTATACTCCAGTGAGGTTTATACCCAGTGAGGTTTATACTCCAGTGAGGTTTATACACCAGTGAGGTTTGTACTTCAGTGAGGTTTATACCCGAGTAAGGTTTATACTCCAGTGAGGTTTATACTCCAGTGAGGTTTATACCCCAGTGGGGTTTATACTCCAGTGAGGTTTATACCCCAGTGAGGTTTATACCCCAGCGAGGTTTATACTCCAGTGAGGTTTATACTCCAGTGAGGGTGAAACCATAATAAGGTTTATACCCCAGTGAGGTTTATACCCCAGTGAGGTTTATACCCCAGTGAGGTTTATATTCCAGTGAGGTTTATACCCCAGTGAGGTTTATACTCCAGTGAGGCTTACTATTTAATGAGTCTGCAGGGCAATGCTCTAGCGAAATCGAAGTTGTCTTTAGGGCTGAAACGATTATATTCATTATCCGTCTAATCGATCATTACAACGAATTGATTTCGATTATGCTGTCTGTTTAGAGTAGATGATTCTAAAAATAAATAAATAAATAATTATACTCATAAAAAGGACACACTTCAGGCTCATTACAAACATCTTGAAAGTTTTTGTCTTCACAAGTATACTTTCAAGCCTTCTCGTCAGGTGAAATACGGGCAAGGGAAAAGGAACAGGAACAGTGGATTAAATACAGTAAGAAGGTGGTAAAACAGCGCGAAAAAAGAAAGAAGATAGCTAAAGTAAACAGCGAAAATTGCAATAATGACACAAAGGTGCAAATGCGAGAAAACTCAATACGCGTGACATGTAGTGCGACAACAAGAGACAACCACTGGACATACATGTAACTAACGAGGTTTTGACGACCTACCTAACAGCCTAAGTGTGAATTTGATTTGTTTCTGCTTGCAAAGGTTTGGTTTCTTTGTGTGGATGTATACAGCTTCCAAAACATTCAGCAATCTAGCACTGCGTACACGTGACACAATCGAAAAACAATCATCTGAATACACAGCACGAGAATCAGGATGCTCAAACAAATGACTAGCAATGGACGATTCATACTTATCAGAACTAACATCAGAACAATCAGCGTGTGCGGTGGACACATCCGATTTCACATGGCTAGTCGAGTGGACCCTAGCCGTTGCCTCTGTCTGTGCTTTAGTCGCTGCCATCGCCGCCGTTGCCGATCTTGTCATTCTTCTGGTTGATGCGGTTCCTGTCACTGCCACGCCAGTAGGTGTCTTGTCCGGTTGTTTTTCTGGTGGTCTAGTTAATTGTGAGGTGACGTTGCTTGGTGTTGATGCCGCTGCGTTGGACCATCCTGTACCAGGATGATTCTTTGCTGGACGTCCCCTCCGTGGTCGAGTGGATCGTGCGTGTTGTGGAATAAGGTGTAGCGGTGCGTGTTGTCGGATGCGTGCGTCCAGATGTTGAAGAGTCCTACCTACATATCAGCTCTCACATTGCCGACACTCGAAGTGATAAATCAACTTGGATAAGTGGCCTGTAGGTAGGATGCAGTGCTAGATTGCTGAATGTTTTGGAAGCTGTATACATCCACACAAAGAAACCAAACCTTTGCAAGCGGAAATAAATCAAATTCACACTTAGGCTGATAGGTAGGTCGTCAAAACCTCGTTAGTTACATGTATGTCCAGTGGTTGTCTCTTGTTGTCGCACTACATGTCACGCTTATTGAGTTTTCTCGCACTTGCACCTTTGTGTTATTATTGCAATTTTCGCTGTTTACTTTAGCTATCTTCTTTCTTTTTTCGCGCTGTTTTACCACCTTCTTACTGTATTTAATCCACTGTTCCTGTTCCTTTTCCCTTGCCTGTATTTCACCTGACGAGAAGGCTTGAAAGTATACTTGTGAAGACGAAAACTTTCAAGATGTTTGTAATGAGCCTGAAGTGTTTCCTTTTTATGAGTATTATCGCATTTTAGTCTCAGAGGAAACTGTTTACCTAAATAAATAAAAAATAATAAATAAAAAACCTGCAGAAGATGTCCTGTACATGACTTAGGCTGTGTTTACATGAGGCGTTTCAACCCGGGTTGAGTTCGACCCGGGTCAGATTTCAACCCCCCATGTGCACAAAGTGAATGGCGCGTTTACATGACGCATTGCGCTTGACCCGGGTTGAAATTTCGCCCCGGGTTGATTTCAACCCTCCCCCCAAGGGGAGGGTTGAAACCAACCCGGGTCAAGAAAATCGTACAAACGTACTTCTGTGCGTATCTCGCGCCAGGTTTGAACAGCACTGCACATGCAAATTTCGCGCGAACGGATTCACGTGACCATAGAGGACTGTAGAAGTGGACTTTTGGCGGCATATCAGTATTTGACCCGGGTCAACTGTCTTCATGTAAACGCTCACCTCTTTTGTCTATCGTACAGACTTTCAACCCGGGCTGAACTCGACCCGGGTTGAAATTTCTCATGTAAACACAGCCTTACTATATGAAGTAGGATACGATAAAGTTACGTACATTGCAGATGGACAGTGCATGTACACATGCACAATATACTTTGCCCTTTTCCGATTATCCGCACTTTTTCCGGTCCAGAAGGGCTGTTTAATAGTAAAAATAATAATAATAAAAACTGACTGTCTGCACCCGCACCTTTCTAGGACGCAGTAATCGATATCATAATCGATAATCAAATCGACACAAGGGTAGGTAACCCGCAAGTTGAAAAGTGTAATCGTTTCACCCCTAGTTATCTTGATGATCTTTCAGGGTGATAAATGCTTCTGACTTAGCCAGTACGTCCATCCTGTTCTGAAGATCTAGACCCTCAGCGATCTCCCTCGCCTCACTGTTGCCTTCATGGTACACATTCTCAGGCGCGATCTGGTAGTTTTTGGTGATATTCTCTCTCATCAGCTTGCTGTATTGCTCTTTTGGTACTTGGTACAAATTTCGGATTTTATCGGCTTTCACGATGATGGCCTTAGAATTTTTGATCGTTTTGGCGTCTTTTCTCATAGCGTGTTGGAGGCTGCCTGATGCTTAGCGGAAGCTGACCGCGAATGAGGTCCTCTTCAAAGGCCTTCAGTCCATCGACATGCGGAGGACATGTCATGCTCTTGAAGCCTTGAAGCGTTCTGGTTGCTCATCTTCGCGTTCCTCGCCATTGAGGTAGAACAAGGCGGAACACCTCATACGCTTGATGACTTGCTCAATCCTGTCAATCAGACATTTCCGAAGGTACTGCTTGGGTAACGGTAGAGGGATGTTCTTCAGAGAATATCCCAGTTGTATTGACCTTGAAACGACCATAGCTAGCTTGCAGTGTAGGGGTAGAGTCCCCGACTGGGAAGAGCCAGGAGCGTGGACAAATCCGTTGAACCCCGAGCTGCAGAGAGTGCTCAATGTCAGAGACAGAGCTTACTACATAGCAGACTCAGCGCAATGCTGGGCAGATCCGAGTATCAGTTGCCTGATCATTGCCTAGCGGCACAAAACTCAGAGTTACAACCAACCTGAACGTCTCCCGCTGAGTCTGCTATGTACTAAGCTCTGTCTCTGACATTCAGCACTCTCTGCTGCTCGGGGATCAACGGATTTGTCAACTTCTATGATACATTGGTAACTTAAAATTACAATACGGACATTATAGCTACTGTAATGTCGCGTATCAAGGGGGCACTACGTCCACGATTCATGCCTGCGATGCTGCACCGCTGCTTTGCATGTCATGATTGGAAGCTGTGGCTTTTATAAAAAAAATTAAATAAAAAGGCTACTGTAATGTCGCGTATTAAAGACGGACTTATTCCTGTAGAAGCCGATGTCAGTTCCCGGCTACTATTCACATAACACGTCTATTCAAAACAGGTATTTCCATTTACAGTAAAACCTCGTTTAAGAGACCACCCCATGATGCAAGCAAGAGCGGTCGTTAAAGCAGGGTGGTCTTTAGAATCAGGTCCCACAGTGCCAAACAAGGTATTTCTATGTCTGTCAAAACTAAAACCAGGCCCTCTCTCGAGTCGACAGTGAAACTTTAAAATCAGGCTTCTATTCAAAACAGGCTTCTATACGAGATAGGCTCCAATGCAAGTCACTACAGTATAGAATGAGTCCTTTAACAACCCGATATGAACATAGATCTTTTCTCTGGGTGCTACTCACTACGGTATGTAACTAAAGAACAGTTTTAAGAGAGGCTCACCGACGAGAACAGCAATGTTGAAGGAACCGTTAACCTCTTCTGTTCCGCTATCAAGAGTTACTCTGGTGCGGCAGACTGCCGGGCCTGCATGAAGGGCTGGGTTGGCCGTCAGGATCTGGAAAGTAAAGATAGTAGTGCGTGGCGTCCCACTGCCAAAGGAAATCGAAATAGGTCCCACCACCATACCGCTGCTCAATACCAAAACACCTTGAGTCGCCGTCGGTGGTGGATCGCTGAGGACGCGACACACGATTTCAATTCGTTCACCGGCGACTCCAGTGACGTCATTGACCGAGACCACGGGTGGGACTGAATATGCGGCAAAAACACGCACATACACACGTCCATGCACATACACACGTGCATGCACATGATCACATACATGCATACACGAACACACACACACACACACACACACACACAAACACACACAAAACCACACACACACACACACACACAAACACACACAACCTCTCCTCTCTCTCTCTCTCTCTCTCACACACACACACACACACACACACACACACACACACACACACACCTCTCTCTCTCTCTCTCTCACACACACACACACACACACACACACCTCTCTCACACACACTCACACACACACACACCTCTCTCTCTCTCTCTCTCACACACACACACACACACACACAAACACACACATACACACACACACACGCACACATACAAACACAATCACACACAAAACGACACACACACACACACGTATCTCTCTCTCTCTCCCACACACACACACACACACACGCACACACACACACACACACACACACACACACACACACACACACCCCAAACACCCCCCCCCCCCCCACACCCACACACCCCCCCCCCCCCCCACACACCCCACACACAAAAAGACACATGTGAAAACACATTCAAATACAGAATACCTAGTGATCAGGAACTTTACTGGCTGCAGAAAGCACCAACCTTCACATCCAACAAAATTATAAAATCAAATTCTATGTTTCGGATTAGACAGCATCAGACAGAATTTCCGCAACCATGGGAACATCACCGCGGCTCAAGGATCAATGAGCCAGTATAAAAATGGGTGAGTAGGTTAGTCTTGGGTAGGTTTGGGATAACATGTACATGCTATTGTTACTGCAGTTGTGTGCATCATTCGCATCTTGGGCACCCTGTAAGAAGACCTTAGGGTCTGTTGAGAATACCCAAGTAAAATAATAAAATACAATACAACACAATTCGCATAACCTCTGTAGCACTATTGTGGTACTGTCAGACCTCGCTTATCCGGTCCTCTTTTATCTGGATCCCTCGCCATCCGGAAGAAAATCGTTGGTTACCGATTTACAGCACTTGACATGCATACATACATTGCATGTAGGTGTGTTCGATTATCCGGTTCCCTCGCCTATCCGGATATTTTTTTGTGGAAATCGGATTTGTGTGGTTGTGCAAGGTCTGTTTGTACAGATGACCACAATACAGCTGATAGTGTAACAGGTAGCCGAGTGGCAGGCGCGGTGCAATCAACAAGAGTTAGTTTTATTCTACTTCTCTCAGGGACACACCTGGGATATAATTATTAGTGAAAGAAGAATCGGCAAATAAATAACTTTCTCTCCGGTGCACACCTGGAGGTTGAATACTTCTTCTTCTCGGTTAGCTTTGTCGTTGCTATAAAATTTCATCTAAAATTGCTCAGCAGCTTTTATGCAGCAGACGCCGTACGCTTACATACGGAGACACACCAAACATACATCAGGCAAAGCTCCGTATTAGTTCCGTACTACTTCCGTATTAGCCAGGCAGGGATACTACTATAGCATAACAAACCACTGTGCTGCATGTCATCCCATGACAACTCACAGTCCGTCAGCAGAGTGCCCACGTCCGTTCCAGAAAGCTGATTGGCCGGGAGTGGTTGATCCAGCGTCACCCTACATGTGTAGGAACGGGACCTGGTCTGCATCATGGCCGTATCAACCAGCAGTGTGGACGTCGTAGCGTTGCTCGTGACGCCCACCGTGATCTCGGTTGAGAACAAGAACCATGAGAAGAGGAATGGTGGTGTACCAGCTGTGGTGTCGCACACTAGTTCTGCAATAGTCCCATTCAGAACAGTCTGGGTGGGTGGGGTTATTCGAACCACGGGCATAACTGCAGAGGACGAACAAGACACACGATGGGCTGCTTGTGCATGTTTATACACAGTGTGTGTGTGTGTGTGGTGGGGGGGGGGGTCTTATACTCCATTGATCAAATTAACTAACCGACGAGGAGACAACACTCGTAAAATAGCAATGAAAAATAAAGAACAGTTTTAAGAGAGGCTCACCGAGAACAGCGATGTTGAAGGAACCGTTAACCTCTTCTGTTCCGCTATCAAGAGTTACTCTGGTGCGGCAGACTGCCGGGCCTGCATGAAGGGCTAGGTCGGCAGTCTGGATCTGGAAAAAAAAGTCAGTAATGCGTGGCATCTCACTGACAAAGGAAAACGCCATAGGTCCCACCAAGATACCGCTGCTCAATACCACAGCGACTTGATTCGTCGCCGGTGGTGGATCGCTGCGGATGCGACACACGATTTCAATCCGTTCACCGGCGACTCCAGTGACGTCATTGACCAATACCACGGGTGGGACTGAATATGCGGCAAAAACACGCACATACACACGTGCATGCACATACACACGTGCATGCACATGATCACATACACGCATACACAAACACAAACACACACACCTCAGACCTCAGACCTTAGACATGCCCATCGCGGGAGCGATGATAGCGAACAGCTATGTTAGACATAGCAACTTGTGCTGGGATTACACCATTCAACAGCTTGCAAGGCTGATGAATTGACCGCCACTCTTTTTAGCCTGGTATTCACCACACAGCTGTTGAAGTGACACACACACACACACACACACACACACACACACACACACATACACACACACACACACACACACACACAGATTCCTTTTGTGGACAATTCTTTCATAGGAATAAAGCCACTAAACGCAATTAGAATAACAAGAATGATATACCGGTACAGGTTTTAGTGATGGGGCAAGAAAGAGAGGAATGGGTAGGAAGTGCAGCAGAGTGCTGTACACTCAACTCTTGGGCGGCTTTTGCGCCAGATCAGTAGTGGCAGGCTGATGTTGCAAGTCATCATTGCTCCGGAGAGCTTTCCAGGAAGCCCAAGATTATTAAGGGAATCCAATAACGAGCACCAAACTAAGTTGGTTATTGTCGCAGTAATGTAGTTAGTGTGTGTTAGCATCCATCGATCACACTGCAATGTTTGCAATTGCCACGCACCGCTGCATCAGTGCTTTCGACACTGCACTCACACTGCCAGCGCATAGATTTTGAGCGCGCTTAGCCTGACATCCCACAACTGCTTCTTTTGAACTTTTGCTCACTGCACTCACACTGCCAGCGCATGGATTAGGACGCACTTAGCCTGACGTTGAACAACTGCTTCCTTAGAACTTTCTCTTTCTTTCTTTCTTTCTTGCCGTTGGCTTCACTTCAAAGTCTAATTAGTGGTGACTTTTACCTTGTGCCAGCATCAAATTTTCACCCTCTATCCCTCCCATTTTATCCTCTTGCTAATGGTACTAGGGAACATTTAGCTCTATCGCTTCTAGCTGGTCATTTGCTTCGCTAGTTGCGGCTCATCATGAGCCAGTTGGGGATCTTCACGAGCCAGTTGTTGCCAATTGCATTGGCTTTGCCTTGCAAACCCATTGTGGCACAGTGTGGGTATATGGTTTGTGGCATTGCTTTCCAGCTCTTTGAGCTTTTGCACTCCAAGACCAGTTACTCGAAGCAGCACACTATCTCCAAAACAATTCCTTGTTGCCTTGGGCTGAGTATGAGTGTGGGAGGGATATTGTGCTAAGCCAAAAATAAGGTAAAGGATAAATCGCAATTGCAGTCGCATACAACTATCAGGATTATTTGTGGCTTCAAATTGTTAATTTGGGGACATCCTCTGGCATGAATGCAAAGCTGCAACCCCTCCCCCATGACCACTCGCGGAGAAAACATCCTTGACCTCGTCATGTCGGATGTGCCTGGAACTGTGTCTACCACCACCCAACCACCTCTTGGCAGATCAGACCATGCTGTTGTCATAGCCGACTTCCAGCTTACTGCATCTGTAGACCAACCCACCACTCGTACAGTATGGCGATACCAGCTGGCTGACTGGCCCCGCCTCTCTGCCTTCCTCTGGGCTACTGACTGGGACACAATAATCGGCGACGACCCAAACATATCGTGTGAGCTTCTGACCATGCGAATCACTGAGGGAATGCAGCGCTTTATACCATCCAAGGTCTTCAAGACCAGACCGCAGGACCCAATCTGGTGGACGCCAGAATGCTCTGCAGCAGCTGACAGAAAGCGCAATGCCTGGCGGAAATCCCGCGATGACCCCAGAAATGGAGCGCTCAAGTGTATATACAAGCTAGCATGCCTTGACTCAACAAGTTGTCCAGCAAGAGCCAAAGCCAAACATCTCGAGCATGTCAAGCAACGTCTCCGGACAGGCAGCCTGCAGGACAGAGGGTGGTGGAGCGTGATTACACGAGTTGGAGGGCATGGCCGAGACAGCTCCATCCCTGTCCTGGTCGACCCCGATGGCATGGAAACCACCAAAAGCCACGACAAGGCTAACGTCATCGGGAAGTACTTTGCCCAGAAGTGCAGCCAAGACGATGACTTTGCAGAACAGTCGGGGCCGTTCCCGCATGTCCGCCGGCGCACCGCAAATACGCTTGCAACAGTCTACTTCCGCGAATCCACCGCACGCCGGACACTCCGAGCCCTGAATCCAAGTAAAGCCACAGGGCCTGATGCAGTACCCGCTAGAGTGCTGAGAAAATGTGCCGACTCTCTGGCCCTGCCCCTATCCAAGCTGTTTACCCTGTGCTTCTGCAGTGGTCATCAACCTGCCATGTGGAAAGTTGCCAACGTCGTAACGGTACACAAGAAAGGCCCCAAGTCGAACCCCAGAATCTACCGCCCGATATCACTACTGCCCATAATGTCTAAGTGTATGGGGTCCATCGTGAACTGCAGCCTGTCCAACTGCAGTCGTGCCAGAAGTAGAGGAGCTCAAGCTTCTTAGCGTCACCTTCGACAGGCAGCTGGCATTCCGCAGCCATATCCGACAGCTTGCAGTACGCGGAGCCCAGCGGCTCGGCTTCCTCCGTAAGGCATCGCCTGTGCTAGACCCAAAGCACCGGGCAATCGTGTACCGTGGCTTTGTCTACCCTGTGTTAGAGTATGGCATGCTGGTGTGGATGAGCGCAGCCCCCACCACCTTGGCCCGCCTCACTGCCATCCAGCGCCGCGCCCTGCACATAGTTGGAGATGGATCTTACCTCCCGAGCCTTGACATTCGCCGTACCGTAGCAGGGCTCTGCTTTCTGTACAAGCTGCACTTTGTGGAGGGTCCGGAAATGGTGAAAGCCATTCTGCCACCATCAGCAGCCGCACCGCAATGCCGCATGTCTACTCGTGAGACAACCAGATCTGCAGCACATCATCCATCACAACTCACCAGTATCCTTCCTCCTCAGTCACGAAACAAC